AAGAGCATAGCAATTGAAATGAAAAATACTGTATCAAATTATGAACTACTGAAACAATATCTGATAGTATGCCAAAAAAATAATAACATAGGGACTCAGATTTATTACAAACAATTGTTATTGCCTTAGAAAATCCATTATGTAATTACTACAGAATATTTTGTATTGGAAAATAGGCGATTGATTCTTACTGGAGCGAAATAACATTCATTGTAATACTGAGCCCAAGTAACGAAAATGTATATATAAATAAATAAAAAAATATATATATCATATTTTAATAGCTAAGTGAAGTGCGGCTATATGGTAATCGAGTCAATAATATTCTTGTCCTTCTCTCATAACTTTGAAGTTTACCTTCCTCTTTTTCTTGTGCTTTTTATGCTGCTGGCTCATCAATGGAATCCAGCTAGCCTGAGTGTGGTTATCTGTCATGTGACAAGATTTGGAGGAGTATTTTGTAGAAAGGGAGCTGCTATCAATTTTCTCGTTGAGAATGAACCAAATTGACAGACTTGGCTATTGAACTATTTGCGAACTCTGTATTCTTGAGAAGAGTATTTTCTAATGCAGCTATCAGAGTCTGTGCTGCTAGCAGTGGCTGCATTTCAGATATTATTATTATTTATCTCTTTGTATGTGACAGTACGTAACGACAATTTGTTACATTTTTACAGTCAAACGATAGAAAAATTTGTGAAATCGTCATTCGAGAAATGGTTTCAAAACGCAAATGATGAACAACAATTGCATTGCAGATACAGAATATTTTGATAAAAATTGTATGTTCTTATACATTATTGAAACAATTCACATATTTTACTTAGTGTATTTTTAAATAATATATGCTCAATCAAATTTCTTCGTGCTTACAAAAGTGACAATTAAATAAATAATTACTTCGGTACGGAAATGTCAAAAAGATAATTTTACTTACAATAAATAAATAGACCTGTTGTATTTTGAATTGTTACTTTTCCAAACACGAAGCGATGTATAAAACACCTATAAAATGGCAATATTAATTATTAATAAATAACACCAGCAAACTAATCCCTGTGCAGTAGTAATAAATGCAGAGCATTTATATGATACATGAGAAAATAGAAATTCTCTAATTACATCAAATTATCAGATATCGTTTGAATGTGGCATTACTGAACGACTCGCATCCACATCACTCACGATAATATGATGACAATGCAAAACTAAAACAAAGCGTATAAACAATAATACCACATCCAGATTTGCAATTATTATAAAAATTGACAAATATTACAAATAGACATAGAATTTAAACGTAAACACCTCCAGATTTTTCTGCTGCTAATATCAAGAAAATAAATTCTAATAAAATTTAACTGTATTTAATATGATTATTATGCATTCCCAATAATTCATTATCTTGGTTACATTAACACACATTCAACGAACATAATGAGTTTCTAATAAATATTATTTCGTAAAAGAAATGAAATGTGATAAAGAAAATTCATTAAATAAACTCTAAATTTCATTAAAAAAATCTTTCACGAAATAATATCTATGTATGCGGTTATTATTATACAATTATTAGATATGAAGTTATGGCAAAACACAAAATTCTTTTGTTAGTCATTACTCATGAAAATTGATTATGATTATCATGTCTTGTTAATGTTTGCAGATTACGTAAATTCTTATAATTTCGAATTATAGCGCTAATGTTTCTCATTACAGCTATAATGCAAGCTTTGTAAACTTTTATATAAAAGGCACTGGACAAAAATCAGAACACTTACAAAACGTTCAAAGTCAATGTATACTGACCTCGGAATTAGAACACTCGGATGTCGGTGGTCCATTCAACCTTTACTGTTCAGAACTGATGCAATCTCCACTACCTGCAGTCTAAAACGAAAAAACTAAACATTAATTCTATTTGTTCATTTAATTAATTGTGCTAGTATACGAATGTTATTTATACCTTCAATTGTGTTACTTCTTCTTGAAGCTGTGCAACCAAAGAACGCAATTTAGTGACTTCTGCATCTAGTGTTGACCTTTTATGATATTCAGATTGAAGTTCTCCTGTCAAACGTTCATTCTCCTGTAATAAGAACAATTAAAAAGTGGTGATATTTATTGATACTTTATTATAAAAAAATTTGGCTTGAAAAATGATTTACCTCCTGCAGTTTTTCTAACGCTATTAAATCACGAGTATTTCCTCCACTGGGAATTGTTTGTGGTGTAGATCTAAGAGCCAACAATTCACGATTGGCCTGTTCTTTATGAGATTCAGCATCCTTTAACCTGGTTTCCATTTCTGCTACCTTCTTTTGTAACTGTGAACAGATCGACAAATTTTCCATTTATTTCGTAACTTCTCTTTAATTTTGTAATATTCTATTTAATTTAAAAGATGAGCACGTACCTCGATCCTAAGATTTGCAACCTCAACCTCTTTTTGCCGAAGTTGAGCTTCCCACCTTGTTTCCTCCGATTCTACGTGACATTGGAGCTTATTTAGCATACCCTCCTGTAAGTGAAATAAATATTTCACGAGTGTGTCATAAATAAAACAATAATACAACTGCCAGTGATATTGTACTCACAGTAGCCATGATAATTTGTTTGTAATGTGAGACCATATCCTGCAAGTTTTTGTTTTGTTTCTCTGTATCTGAACGAGTACTATCATCCACATTTTTCTTCTTTAATTCAACCAAGAAGGTGTTCGCTTTTTCTTCGAAATCACTGAGCCATTGGTCGTGTGATTTTTCGGGTACTTTTACTTCTGGGAATATCCTCATCAAGAAAGCCTTTGTTAATTCTTCTTGTTCAAGTCTCACTTTCTGTGCAACCTCCTGATAATAAATGAAACGTATATTCGCTCTTGTATCATTAAATGCATTAAATAAGAGTTGCGATATACAAAGGGCCTAGCCGTATAAGATAATAAAATCTGCTCTTACAGCTTTTTCAATGAATATTAAGCTATCGAACAGTGTAATATTTGTTGAAAAAGCTGTAAGGACAGATTTGACCGTCTTATCTGACTAGGCCCTTTCTAGCATCATGAAGATTCTCATCTGTTGAATTTTAATATAAATGCGTCGATCACAAACGAAAAAGGGATTAGAACAAATTTGGAAAGAACGGACTAGACTAGATAAAGTGGGGACTTACATCAAAGTTTTGCACATCACTAGATTTAACACGCGACTCAGCAGCAGAAAGAGCATTCATCACTTTCCAGTTTTTCTTACGCAACTCCTGTTTCAACCGTAAAAAGATTATCAGTATATTATAGCTCGATAGCTATTACTTTACGTAAAAACAGATATAAAAAGCTTAAGTACTAATATTTCAAAATTAAAATATAAAAATAGATTGGCAAAGTGATGGAATCAATTAGAGTGATTGGTACACGGACAGATCTTTCCGGCTGATTACAAAACTTCCTCTTAGCTATCAATTCTATTTACGGATATATTGCTACTTACATTATTTTTAGTTCTTTGATCTTGTAAATTATCACTCAGAAGAGTCACACGATTACGTTGATGATTCACGTCACTTTGCAATACGTCGATTTGAGCATTCGATTGTTTCAGTTCCGCTTCCTTGTTCGTTAATTCTGTCTTTAAGGCATTCAGTTGACTTTCCTTTTGCGCCAACCTTACAAAAATCATGCGTTCAAAATTTTCTGCAAGTTAAACTATAAACATTATGTTTGTATACATTATATACATACAGATTAACATGATCTGCAAGCTGTATGTTCTTCTGAACATTATCATCGATTCCATTTTCTTTGTCTTCTGTAGCTGGTCGCTCACTGATCGTTGCTAATTTGGACGACAATGATTCATTTTCTTCTTGCAATTGTTTCAGTTGTTTTCGCAAATCAGTAAGATTCGCCAACTAAAACATAAATAAAAAATAATTACATTTCCATTAAATTACTGCAATTAAAATTTCTATCTATATCAAGAATAATACCTGCGTAGAAAGTTTGTTGTTTTCTTCTTGCAATAGTACGTTTCCAAATTGTAACTCTGTTACGGCAAATTTATTCTCATTGCTCTGCAACCTCTCCAATTCAGCCTTCAACATTTTCATTTCATTTGCCATTTCATTTGCAGGTGTAAGCTCAACCTGAGCATTTTCTAATTCAGCTTGTGCTTGTTTCAACTCTTCCTTCAATTTCTGTATTTCAATCTGGCAAAGAGACAGACTTTCAGCTGTCTTTTCAGATTCAGCTTTCACAATGTTCAATTTCTTTTGCTCGGCATCTAATTGCGCTTCCAGCTGTGCTACATGTTCCGTGGTTTGTCTTGTCACGACCCGTAAATTGTTCAGCTCGTCTTGAGATTTCTTGACCTCCTCTTCCTTATTCGCTAGTGCTATTTTAAGAGCTGTAATTTCAGCTGCTTCAGATTTTGCTTCATTCATAGAGGCTGACAATTCAGATTTTAGTTTGCCCAGTTCAGTCTGAGCTTTAGTTAATTCTGCTTTCAACGTAGAAACATCGCTAGCCTCTGTTTTTGCGGCATTTAATTCTGATTGCAACGAATTCACCTGTTTTTGAAGCTCTTGTTCATGGCGATGAGCATTTTTTAGTCTGTGATCCAATTCCGTTTGAGCGCAATGAGCCTCCTGTAGAATTAAATATATTTTATTTGATCGATTTGATCCTTTTATCGTAAAAGAATGATATAATTTCCCTTACCTCAAGTTGTCTAGCAACATCTTGTAATCTATCGCCAGCTTCCTTGAAATGTTGTAATTGTCCTTCTGAATGCATCAACTGACCCTGCATAAGCCCTAACTGTTGCCGTAACATTTCTATCTCAGCTGTGCTACTATCACATGTCACTTGTAATTCACTTTGCATCTTTTGTACTTCTACGTGCTTTTGAGCTATCTGTGCTTTCAACGCATTCTCATTTTCACGCATCTTTCCAAACTGAACCTCCATTTGCTTCCTCTGCGTTATCAGCTCCTGCTGCAAATGACCTTGAGTCTGTCCCTGTTCCTCTTGCATCTTATGAATGATCGTAGCATTCTCGTTCACTTTAGTTTGCAACTGTTCAATCTGTCTAGTGAACCCTTGCTTTTCAGCAGCATGACTTTCTAAGATGTGTTGCATACGTGTATGTAAGGTCTGAGCTTCCGTAACCTTGGCATTTAGTGTTTCCTCTAACTGTCTCACATTAGCTGATAATCTAGATCTCTCTGAATTGAGTTCAGTTCGCAATTCCTTTAGTTTATTTTGGAAAGCAATATTGGCTTCATGTTCGTCAGCAAGAGCCTTCTCCTTTTCCGCCAATTGCTTCTTCAATTTAATAACAGGGTCTGCACGACCTTCTGTCCACTCTGAATGTTCTGATGGATTATCCAGCTGTTTATTCAGAAGTTGATCAATCAGAATTTGGATTTCAGAACGACTAAGTTCAGCTTTCTGAACTAAAGGCATCAAAAGAGATACGTTAACAGCATCTTTGTCTCCTCCTAAAATAAAAAGACATTTAAAATAAAAAATGTTGCTATACACGTTAATAAAAATCAGTTTACGATAAAGAGTATAATATTCATATTATCATGTTTAGTACGATTTTCTTTTATTAAATATATTTTATTTTTTATTTTAAAGCTCACACAATTCTAACAATTATTAGTGAGATGAATGAATATTTAACATAATGTTACATTTTGTAAACAATATATAAAGTATGTAATGCATATCTTGACATAACCTTGACAGTAGTATGGTCATTGACCTGTAAAGAGGGAAGGGGAACTGATCCTACCACAGCCACATTCCATAGCACAAGTGAAGGATCTGCTTTTATATACTTAAAGTAAATTCTTTACAAAACATTCTCTATTAATTTTTAAAAAACATTATCATAAACTGAACAAATATTTAAATTTTCTGGACCAAATTTTCTTAATTTTGTATTACTCTGTTGTGTATTTTTGTATTAACTTTATTTAATGTTAATTATTTTATACGATATTAGTAACAGCGCATAAAGTAACTTACCAATTTGAGCTAGAATATCATTCTTCTTCTTTGTCTTCTTAGATTCTTTAATTAGAGCTTGAATGAGTGGCGCAGATTCTTTAACTACTTCCTTTGTATCCTTAACAGGTGTTTCTTTGTGTTCTTTTGTTTCCTTTGGAACATCTTTGTTAACAAGTGGTTGGGCATTAGCATTTACAGTTGCTTCTTTCTTCTCTTCTTTCTTCTCCTCCTTAACATTTTCATCTTTCTTTTTCGATGAATCTTTTACATTTTTCTTTGTTTTTGTTGGAGTTTCCTTGGGTGATTTATTTACAACTGGTTCAGACTGATTGAGTTGTTGCAAATTTTCCTTCTGTTTAGTAAATGAACATTGAAATACATGACCTTATAAAAAAGGTTGAAATTGACATGGAAACTTGTAACAAGTATATAATAATAAATTTTGTATTTAATTAGTTATTAATAAAATTACGCATAACTATATAATACACAAAAAGAAAGAAAACAAAATAGTAAAATATTCATATATGAAACTAAAAGTGTTAGAGAAGAAATATAAATTCATCACAACAACATACAAATTTTTAACTCCCAATTACTTGAATCAATTAAGGAGTAGTTTACAGATTTAGTATATATCCCAAATTTGAAAAATCCCTTGTTACTATTAAATAAGCATTAATACTACTTAATGTGGTTTTTAAATGTGTTATAAAAGCAGCAGCCAATGCAAAATATGAAAAGTGAATGAAGTGCAGACGAGGTAAAATAGTCTACCAAAAGCAGTTCACTCACACTGTGACTCCGTATGAGTTCGAGGTCGTCCTTTGGATGAATGAGGTCAAAATGATTAGCCTCTGCCAAGGGGGGTTGTGAAGGACTTAATTCAGTCACAATAACCAACGGCTCATCTTTATTTACAAGAATTGGCTTTACCTTTTCAGACTTGCCTTTCTTCTTACTTCCTTTGCTACCCTCCTATGATTCCAATGTATATATCAAATGTTTTTCCCATGTATTACAAATAGTAACAACAAACATAAATATTGTTTATCTACAAAGGTATATCTATGACCTCACATTATATAGAAATGGACAAATAAACTTATTACTAACTAGAAAGAAAATAAAAATACTACAATACAAATAATAAGTAAAATTTTGTATTTAATTTATATAGAGTTATAACTTATTTGCTTTTCACCTTGAAACTGTATTTATTTTGACGTAATGGTAAACATAAGAACCTGAAATTAATAAATCTATTGCNCCTCACATTATATAGAAATGGACAAATAAACTTATTACTAACTAGAAAGAAAATAAAAATACTACAATACAAATAATAAGTAAAATTTTGTATTTAATTTATATAGAGTTATAACTTATTTGCTTTTCACCTTGAAACTGTATTTATTTTGACGTAATGGTAAACATAAGAACCTGAAATTAATAAATCTATTGC